GTTTAGTTGTTCTTATTAGCCTATCAAGGGCCTAAGGGACTTAAGGTCAGGCTGTTTTTCAGCCTGTTTCATGTAGTTATTGGTTAGGTTTGTTCTTGTCTTTTCCGGGCTAGCTGGTTACTCGCATACTCTGTTGTAGGCTCTGCCTCTTGCTCGCCATTCTTGGTTGAAGAGCACATAATCCTCCGTAGCCTGAATTATGTACCTTTTACAAACCATGAACATATATCCCACGAATGGATTAACTAACTGCCACATCATGTTAAAAATAAAATATTAAATGCTTCTTTAAATTTTATATTAAAACTTTTCGTGTCAATTGCGAAGTTCTTGGATCTTGGAATTGTTGTGTACATTAGCCTGCCACATTGTTTCATGCATAGTTATGTGTAGCTTCTTTGTTTAGGATGATAAGCTTTGTCAGGGATTGGTGGTTCAGTGATGTCAGACAATTGTTCCTTTTGTTGGTTATCTTTTATAAGTTCCTTACTGAAGTTCCTTTTTAGATGGTAATCATGCTGTAGAATTTTGGCTTGGTTTGTTTTTTATTTCCTTGCCATGAGCATTGCATTATAAGTAAGGTTAGGTAAAATAGTGTTTCAGAGCCTTTTGTCGTTGAGATTGGTAATTAAACTAATTATATTAACATTCACATCATAAGTCAAAGTGTGCAATGGCATGAATTATAATTGAATGAGGATGTGGTTTTATCTACGTTCTTTACTGAAAGCTAATGGTTGCATTTATCGATAGGAGAGACTTTCCTTCCAAAGGATGCTGTGAAATTTGTTTCTACTTGCTTGAAATCTCTACATCAGGTCAGGTCGTGAAAATGACGACTATGCAATCACTGCATCGATCGTCTTAGACTGAGCAGTTGTTTCTCTGTGCTTCAAATCCGTACATTGTGATGTTTGGCGTCATTTTTAGTAATATGAATGCTAATTGATGCTTGGCCTTGGAATGTGTCACAATATGAATAATAATTGCTTCAGATGCTGCAGCACAACTTCTAATTCTGGCTACAACATATAAATTGGTGAGATTTCTAGCCTGCAAACAATCTCAATTTCTTAGCATTCTATTATTGTATAGAAATAGAAGTTCTATGCGCATTATGGAATCCAAAAGTAGAAGAAAAAGGAAGTTCCTGAAATTAAAACATGATCTTTTACTTTAATTTCTCCCCACCCCGCAGTTTCTTTCAGATGACATTGCTGTTTATGTGCTTTCTGCCCAAATAACATGTGTATATATTCAACTTTTGTGGGTTTTCCTTTCATTTTCCTGTGTGTATGCAGTAGGTTTATGTTTGGTTTAATTTAAGTTCACGGGTTGACCTACCTTTCCTAAATTATCATGTACCAGGTCTTCGTTTGGTATGTTTCGCAAAAAATTCTCGCTACGATATTAATCCTTATTTCATGGTTATTGCGTATTTTAAAGGTAATGGAACAACTCAAGGTTGATTACTCATAAGAAAATATTACTGAAAAGGTGTTCTTGCATGCTGAACAAGAGGAATTTTGTCAACTCTGCATTGATGCCTGATGAGCATAATTGACGATCAATCTCTATCTCTGCCTCATCTCCTCTGAGGCCTGACAGATCGATGGGCACAAAATGGATCAGGTCAGTCTTGCTTTTTTGTTTTGCTTGATCTATTTCATTCTTTCGCGAGTCTTTAAATATGGAATTTGGTTAGGGTTTTTACTTAGGTTTTTTGCTTCGAGTTGTTGCAGTATACAGCTGCCTATCCATTTGATATGCTTTTGATGATGGGGAGGATAGAAAGAATCTACATAAACTGTTAAGCAGCAGGCATGACAAGGAAGAAGGAGCCAACATCGACCTGGTTGGTGCCGATTCAGATTTGAAGCAAACCCATTTTGATTCATGGTGTCCATTCCAACTTTCTTTGGTTATGCAATAATGTGGGGTAGGAAGGTACGTTCTGCTTATAATGGCCGCCAACAGTATAGGTTATTTGCTTTGTATTTTGTTTACCTTGGGATTTATGGTTCGTCCATCTGCTTTGTTATTTCTGTTTGTAGCCGGCCAGTTCAATGTCTCATCAAGGGTGCTGGGAACTATGGATTTGGAAGTAGAGCGATGGATAACTCACTTATGTGCGAATTCATTCGTTCTGGTTTCGACTTGGATCAATACAGCGGGGTAGAAGCGATTAGAGTGGAAGTTTCATACACCATGGAGATGGAACTCGCAGGTTTTATTGCATTCCAGCTGGATAATGAAAGTAATTGGGAGTCCTGAACTGTCTCATGCAGGTATCTGATGATGGTTACCTTTTCTTCCTTTCCTGTTTCAACTTATGTAATCATAATGGATTTGACCTGTGTTGCTTCTACTTTCACCTTAATGGGTTGATGGATGGAGGTTAGAACAAGTTCCTTGTGCTGCTATAATCATGCTTCCACTTGCTGCATTCATCTTTCTACCTACCATTGTTCTTTGCTATATTCAAAATAGAGGTCTCTTAACAGTCTCGGTTGATTTAGAAGTTGTATCCCTAAGTTCTATATATGTCAATCAATACTCGGTGCATTCAAAGTAAACGAATATAACATACTGAAATCTTTGGGATTTCCATTTTCTAAACTTATCTTTGTTGTTTGCAGGAGTATAAAGAAGATGATAAACTCTCACCAGCAAGTGGGAACTATGAATTTCTGTACCAGTTGATGTTGCTAATAAGAAGATAATTTCCCAGCTCATCATCAGTTTGTTATTGTGCATCCAGGTGAGTATAAGTTTTTTGTACAAAACTTTATATAATGCCAACTATGCTTCTTGAAGACTGAGCTGATGGTTGATGTTTTAGAAGGCTGCACTGTTATTTGCTTTGTGATATACATGCAACAAGTTAGAGCAGTGAGCTATGTATTTGTAATTTGCTAACTAAAATTGGTTGATGGCGACACTTTCCATTATGAAGTGGGTGTGTTCCATCATTATTATTAAGGGGCTTTTGTCCTTGGGAGTCAGATGCCATTTATGGATCTTCACAACGCCTTCTTGCTTGCCCTATGATTATAGTTAGTTTTCACCCAGTGCTGATTTTAGTCAAAATTCATTATCTGGAAATGTATTAGGTAATTACATCAGATGAAACCTTCTGATTTATGAGCCATGTTGGAACTATGCGTTTCTTGGCCACTATCTGGTCAAAATAATCTCTAAACTCCATTTCTATTGCTTTTCCCACTATCATTGTCAAAATCAATAATTTGTCTTTGTTTTGGTTTTGCTCAATTTGTAATCCAGCTAAGTTGTTATGCTTGAAATGAAATTGAATTCCTAAATTTGGTACTTTTTAGGTTTGGGTTAAAAGAAACCAATACCATTACTCTCTAAGTTGCCTCCATCTCACCCTTCCGTTTAAATTGTTTAGGTTCTGCAGCTCTTTGCTTGACCTTTAGGTCTTTGTGGACTTGATTACAATTGAAACAGGTAGAGGAGGGTGTTTTATGCTTTTGTTCTGCGTCATCTCTATGGTCACTTGCAGGATGCAACCAGGCATATAGAGCGGTGGATATGAAATGAAGTATCCGGTTGTCACAGCAACTCTTGCCATTATTGTTTTGTTCCTATTTATATGGCAATGTAATCATATTTAAAACTTTCCATTTGCTTTGCTAGCATGCTTTGTTCCTCAATTGACGTTGGTTCATGCAAATAGGCCAACACTTTTTTTTTGCTATTATAATCGTCTTAAGAAAAGATTGGATTTTGTTGGTTCAGAAGACAGTTATCATGATTCTAATCCATTTTGTTACTAGATAGAAGAATGATTCACATGGTTATTGATAGAATGTTGCATGCTCGTGAGTGGAAATGATAAATGATACTCTATTGATTCTCCTGTTCGTGTGCCCTTCTTTATTCCGGGACAAATCTATGTGGATTCGATTGTGATTTATTTTCTATCTTTTACTAGCTTATAGATCATGTGATGAGTGGGAAAGTTGTTTCGGGGATCATGGCTGGTGGTGGGGAAAAGCCTTTGTTTGTCATCTTTAACGAGTTCATGGTTGGTATGACTTTCCATGAGTAATGAATTATTTATCTCTAGCAAGTGAAAGGAAAAGGCTTTGGTAGCTTTTCTGAGATCTTCACTTTCGAAACCAAATCAGATGTTGGTGAATTTGTGGGGAGCCTAAAAGACCATGGTCGACAAGTTGGCTATAAGTACATAATTCAATTAGTGCTACTTGGATGGTTGAGGTTCACTTCATGGTCTCCTTTATGGTATCAACTTATAAATCAAACTTCATTTTCCGCGGTTTTAGAAGCTTAGTTAATTTTAAATAAAGAAACAATATTAGCGCAAACTAATCTTTAGTTCGATTCGACTCTGGTCTCAAGTCCGTAACCAATTGCACAGGGTAATCCAATGAATAAGAGATTAGGATTAGAAGTTACTACACATCCTAAATTCTACTAAGCAATCCAAGTTACTCCAAAACCAACACCAACTCCCGATACAACTCTTAACTGACTTGGAGTTTTTTTATCAAGAGCCATGATTAGGATCAATCTCCATGGACTTGAGTATGTGTTCAATGATTGCCGAATGATTAATCACTTAATGATTTCCTGATAGTTGTGAGTTACAAATATTTAACTAAATGATTTCCTGATTCGACTCAAGTGATTGTATCAGGGCGAAGCTGTATCTGTCACTGCTGAGAAGAGGAGGCGATGGAATGGAAGATAGTGCAAGTAATGGCAATTTTGCATCGTGTGTGCAATGATTTTTCTGCTGAGTTTATGATTTGATGCTATCCTAACTACCTATTTAATATGGCCTTTCACATGTTTTCCCCCCTAATTGCATTGTTGCTGTGTCGCAAAATGTTAATATGTGCAAAGTACGTTCTCAATGTATCTAGAATTTATTTCCAATGCACTATATTCATGTGTCCATTCAAATGTTAGAATGAGAAGTAATTATACTTTTAGAGTTATATGGATATAATTGATATTTGTAAATTGTATAATATGTGTTCAACTTGGAAATGGATACCAATTAAACGTTATGTTACAAGCCTCCTGACGCGAGGTACATATGGTTCACTTGGGTAGCGATCAAAATGTTCATTTTGTCTGTCTTTTGAAGCAAACTAATATCTCCACAATATGTTTTGCCCGCCGCGTAGCGCGGGCTTTTCCTTCCTAGTATGTTTTAATATTACACATGAGTTCTCACTTCTCAGTCCTTCACCTATAAAATATATGAATTCTACATTGCATGGTTGCCAAACTACAAATAAGCGGATTAACTAGCCAGTGATGGGTGCAAGACTGTCGTTGGATATCTTCCATCAGGAACTTCAACGAGAGGTCTCGTCAACTGCCTTCTTAACAACTCTAGAGTTCTTATCATCCACATAGAACTGATACACATACGAAACAAATCCCCAGATCGCCAAAACCATGGAAATCCCTTTGACTCCGCTCATCTTATCATGGAAAAAGAAGATCGCCGCAATGGGAACAATCGGCAGTCCCACGACGCTTATGGAATTAGAGAACAGTGAAGACACCTCGAAGATCAAGCCCACCGCTCCAATTGAAAACAACTGCCAGAACACGGCGATCCAAATCAAGGTCATCAAATACGACGTCGTCCCCAACCCATAGCCCTCCATCTCCCTTCCTATGCCCTTCCACTCCCCGCTAGCGAAAAGTCCCACAACAGTGACCAAGCTCGCAAAAAGGTTCTGGTAGATGATCATGTCCATCACATACTTAAAAGTCCGCCGCTTGATCACACTAGTGAACACGTACTGCGTGGCAGACATCAGCAAGCCGAACAGAGCCGATGCTGCCAAGGTACAGAGGAACCCGGTGACGTACTTGACTCTCGAGGTGGGCCCCGCCGCGGACGAATCGTCGTCGTTGAATACGAGCAAGACGGAGGAAACAGTGAGGAGAACTAGCGAATTGACGACGAAAGGGGTGAATTTCTGGCCGTTGATGAAGTAGGAGAAGAACGAGTTGAAGGCTAGCTGGGAAGCAGAGAGGAGCGTGTAAGTTGAGACCGGAAGGTTTTGCAGCCCCACGGAGTAGAGCCAGCAGGCGAATCCTACGACCAGGCCGAGGAGCGCGTAGATCGCGGTCAGAGTGTGGGGAGACGGAAGAGGTGGTTTTGCGCCGTGGTCGTCGTGATCGTGATCCACACCACCGGCGGCGGCTGTTGTTGTTGTTGTTGTGGTGAGGAGGTAGAAGGGGATGAGGATGGGGAAGCCGCCGACTTGGACGACGGAGGAGAGCCAGTTGCTGCTCCCTCCTTTCAGAAAATAGAGCCTTCCCAGTAGAACGGCGACGGATTGTCCCAGTAGCACACTCATAGTGTAGAGTGAGACTTTGACCCACCACCACCAGTGCCCTGTTTTGCTGCTCTGTTTCATCGTCTCTTCTTTATTGGCTTCATTATGATGTTGATCCCCTGTTGTTAGAAACCGAACAAAAGAAATTAGGGTTATCGAATCTGGCTGAATTGCGTACTAGGTAGGCAAAGCGGGGGCATACGTACCGAGGACTTGAAGTTGGATCTGCGCAGGTTGGTCCATCTCTTTGAAGCTGCTAGCTAGCTAGCTCCCCTGCTTTTCCCGGCGTGGAGGATGATTAACTAATAACTAGTAACCACACAAGTCGCGTTATCTCTTTGATATGGAGACTGTGTTTATAGTTAGGAAGCCGTAGATAGACCGAAGTCAGAGGTGGTGACATGAATTGACGAGTCGATCGACATGGTCCGATCGATCCGTGGCCATTATTTTGGGGAGGGTGGGGGGATGGAATGGTATCAGCTATGGGATTGGGTGGGATTCTTTATTGTCATTTAAGTTGAACACGACGAATACTTATTGTTTTGGGTTTAATGATGATGATGATGAAATCAGTAGACCAATAGATGTGACATAGGCAGAGAAGAGAGGATGGAGCCTTTATTGTCTTTTTTTTTTCCTTCCAACAAAGGCAACAATTTAATTTCATTTGTCACCGATTTGTTTTTTATATAGTTCAAAATGAGAGAAATACATAAATATTTATCAACCTATTATAATACTTTAGACCATTCACATTGAAATTGCATTTTGAATAACATCATGACATAACATTCATTTGCTTTTGTGTATATGACAATTACATTTTTGCTATGCTTTGCAAGTCACATTATCTTATTTCATTGTAAAATTATTTACTAATTTTTTTATTTAAGTGTTTATGTTTATATAATTATACTAAAAAATCAATTATAATTGCACAAATGTGAGTACAATGAAAATAATATGAGTTTAATTACTAAAGATTGAAATGACAATTAAAAATACAAATTGTACAATTGCATTGTAACGAGAGAAATGAAGAGATTGCAAGTGGCATCTAGCAGTGAGAAACGAGACGGGATTGGGTACCCGTCCCGTTTGAAACGGGTACCCAATCCCATTTGAAGACCAGAATTCATCTCATATCCGAAACCCGTACGGGTAACGTGTGCCCGTTAACCCGTACGTGACAGATAACGGGCCGGGTACCCAAACTACCCGTGTATACCCGTTCAACATGGGGTGCTGTTGTGGACAAATGTTGTGCCGCTGTGGCTATCGGCGTCAGGGCGGGCTGTCAGTGTCAGGGGGCTAGAGGAAAGGAAGGATTCGTCTCATCTTCTTAGTTCTTCCGAGAGAGAGGAAGATGACTGAGGATAGGAGCGGCCGATGGCATCAAGGATCGGGGATTAGTGGGCAGAGAGGAGTGAGAGAGAGGAGTCGATCACCGTCGGTCTGGTCTTCTCTAGTTCTAGCTCTAGGTCTAGTCTTGATATAAGCCGAGGCTCTAACTCCTGGACTTAAACAATCAGAATACGCAGCAACGTTCGACTAGCAAAACAAAGAGCAAAAGGGCGGAAAATAACTCAAACCAAAGCCACAATTGGGTAGAGGGCCAAGTATCCGAAATGAATCCACAACTAGGTTGATAACGTCAGGTTCTTCTAGACGGCTCGATTCCACGAACAGACTAAGAAGGATAAAAGAGTTTCAAGATTGAACACTCAAATAAGGGTTTTTCATTGATCCAAAGTTGTTCAGCCCGTATGCATAACACCCTCTATTTATAGAGGTTACAAAATTAATAAGGAAACAAATAGTAGTTAAAGAAGGAAACAAATATCCAAAAGATTCTAACATATTGTTTTTAATGCTAATGGAAGATTCTTAGCCACTAATTATTCCCTTTCCATGTTTGGCCAACTTGGACATAAAAAATGTCCTTCTTTCTCCCCTTTCCTTTGCCTTTCCATGTGTGACCAACTTGGACATCAAGAATGTCCTTCTTTCTCTTCTTGGATGCATATTAAATTGACCTCTTGGGCAGCTCCAGTTCCTACGTCGAGCACCTCTTGGTCACTTGGACTCTTCTCTTTGCCTTCTCGATCTTCTAAAGCCTTCATCTTCGGACCACGATCGTTGTATGTTCTTCAAACTTGATGTACATCTTGTGAGGTGGTCCAGGTTGCATCATTCTCTCCCTCTTCAAAAATATTTTTCCTCAAATCGTATTGCTGCATATAGACTCCCTTGTAGTCCATCGCCCTTGACCTGGAACATCCACCAAGAAAGAATAAACATTCTCCACAATCCCATGGAATCAAGAGCTCAAACAAACGATCCAACATGGGCTCCAAATCATGATTTTCAAAGCTCAAGTCACCATGAATGTTTCCGTGAAACCTCCAGCCAGGTTTCCAAACATAATGGGTTGCTCCAACAGCATCCAAACTTGTAGTTCCTCGTCCAAAATCTTTATCCCTCACTCTACTCAAGCCACCACCATCTGCCCTCTTGCCATCAAAACAATCAGTCGTCCAAATCAAGCTATCAAAGATCAAAGCTTGACGACTCATACACCTAAAATCCTGCCCATAATCAAAACAAAAATGATCGTGATAGCTCGATTCAAGGCATCCTATTTCAACCACTTCAGCTTCACCACTTTCCTGTCTTTCAACTTCTTCTACCTCCTTCTGATCTTGGGAATTGATCGACGACTTATTTTCTTTGATTTCCTCCTGATCTGGAAGGGTTCTGACTTCCTCGACATCCTGCTCTTCATCAATCTTCTCTACTTCCAGATTCTCTTGTGTATCTTCATAAAGTCGTTGTAATTGCCTCCTATCTTCAGCAACCTGACTCGCTGTTACTGTCACCCTAGAAAATGGCCAAGTATAACTACTTCCTAAAGCGTAGTATAGCGGGTCGGGTTTTAATGTCAACCCGGGTCCTAGATGTGATGACTACTCGGTGAATTCTTGTTATTCAGTGGTGAACTTTTAGTGCAACTCAAGCAAACAGAACACAAAGCAAGTAAACGGTTTGTTGTCAAGTCAAGAGAGGTCACCCGGATATGGTTCCCCCTAGACTGCAGTTAAGTCGGATTGTAATTACCAAGTTCAGTTTTCATGAAAGTTATACTGCGGAAGGTTCTCAATTAGCCTGAAGTCTCGATTAAAGGTCTCCAGACCCTCTCAATCTGAGTCTCTAGCGGGCGACTAACCTCCACCGGAGTAAACAGATTGAGGCCCTAATGAACCAAACCTCCACTACCGAATTAACTTCGGTACAGAATAGCGAATTGGCTCCTCGACTAAAGTCACCAATTCGCCACCTTCGATTAAGGGTACTCTATCAACCTAGGCAGATACTCTCATTCTAGGTCAAAGCAGAAACAACAGGAATTTGATCAGGATTCAAGTCATTCAATCATTCAAACCTCAATCGAATATAATCAATTCACAAACTCTGTACTTGGGTTCATACAATCAGACCTAGCATACAAATCTAGGGTTCTCCATACCCAGATGAATGGGGAAACTACTCCATAGAGAAAGAAGCAAAAGCAGATTCAGACACGGAAATCATACTGTGAAGTTGGATTCCTGCTCCTGGACGTTTAATCGCACTTCTCCAAGCTCAAGACGGGCTCCAATGGTGTTGAAGATCGATCTATGGCGCTTGGGAACTCTGGTTCGTCGCTTTCTCTCTCTAGGAATCGATTTCTCTCTCAAAAACTCGGAACCCCCCAATGTTGGCCTTCTTCCTCCTTTAATCAGCTGCCTGGTCGCGATACCCGGTCGAAATACCCGGTCGGGTATTTTGGGTTTCGACCGGGTATCTCTGCAGCGCACCGTTTCGCTTAAGGGAAGAATCCCCGGTCAATCGCCATAATCCCCGACCGGGGATTTTGCTGCTGTGCCCGGGCCCCTCTCTGCTTCTCGGGCGCCCAAAAGTGGTGAATACCCGGTCGAGTATTTGGCCACCTGACCGGGTATTTTGCTCCTTCAGCCCTATCCGTCCCAACTTTGCTCCTTTCGACCCAGAACTCGTTTCTCCGCCTCGATTCCAACGCCGGGACCTGAAATATGACATAAACACACAACCTAGCGTGAAATCGGTTTAAAATACGAGATTCCTCATCACAAACGGCTTCAGAATAGGGGTGAAAACATGTATAATTATCGGTCTATCAAACTCCCCCACACTTAACCGTTTGCTTGTCCCCAAGCAAATCAAGTAAGACACTAGGTAAGCTTACATATTTCAATCAACCAACATTGGGGACAAGTCATAAAGGCACAGCACACGCGAATCGCACTGGGTTTCAAACATCAATACATGCACAACCTCAATAACAACCTGGACAACCACCACAAAGGACATTCGAGTGCAGCAAATCGAGTAAAGGAAGAGTCTCCCTTCTGTTCACTGGCCAACCTAGACTTGATTCAACCACTTACTCAAAACAGTCAACTCATGCATCCAACTCAAGACATCAGAATAGAGACCGAGCAATCTAGGTCCTCACCGGGGTACAAGAGCATATAGAAAATGAAAATGAATCACTCACTCTCGACCTGTGGGGTCAGGACAATCTGATGCGAAAGATGCGCATGCTATTTCTCTCAATCCCTATCATCTCTTCACCATGATGGCAGCCTCTAAATGCTAGAGTTCACATATGGGGTGTCACCACTGACTAATCAGGAGGTCTTAGACACAGGTTCAAATGACTGGCTAGGGTCTTGGACATGGGGAAAAGGCCTTTTAGGTGGTGGAAGTATTCATAGCAAAAGGTTCCACATTTTCCAAACACACAATCACAGTCAAACAACCCGGTATTTTCTTTATGCTATTCTGCATTACTCAATATCTTAAGAGCACAAGAGCGAAGGAGGCATAAACATCAGCATTTCCAAGCCAGACTGCTAAGAAACACTGCTTACTGGGCATTATTCAGATTTTTGGTAGTGACTCTCTTTTGCTTTCAAATTTTTGCTTTGTTTTTCTTTCATTTTTCTTTTCATTTCTTAAGAGAGCCACCACTTCTGCATAAATTTCAAACACCTGCCCAACTTTTAAGCACTACCTCCAACACTCACATAGACTTTAGCAGAAACAGCAGAAAATATGTAAAAACCACTCTGTGGAACCTTCTAAAAGATGCAACAAGGGTGATTTTTTCATTATAAACCAAAAGAAAGGATAACACACGGCTCAAAGGGGCTGACTAGGGGATATGAGACATCAGGACAGTCAGTTTTTTGGGCGTGGGCTAATCCTATGCCCCCATCATCTTAGCTAGTGACAACGTGAATGCTACACATCATGGAAGAGGGATCTATCGCACAAGAAAGAAACGAGCAGGCTCAAATCTCACATGGCTACCTATATGCTCTATCTCACATTCTGATACCCTGAACTAGATGCATAAACGACTGTCAAGGACAAGTAATCAG